ATTATGAACATATCCCATATAGACCATACGATTAAAGGCAGTCAAGAACAAACTAGTCTTGCTAATACTTGAAGATTATTTTCATAATGAAAAAAGTTGTCACAAGCATACCATAATTCTAGGATTTTTTGAAATATGCTGGCAGCAGCAGTGTAGTCACCTGCCCGAGCATGAAGCCTTCCCTGTCAACTTAAAGTCAAAGTGGACAAGTTGATAAGAAAAGCAAACAAGTGGCAAAGAACCATTCAAGCTAGTAAATACAGGAGTTAAAAGTTTTGACCCAACAAAAGAGACTCAAACAAAGTAAAATAATTATATGCAGTCGTATATCCTATATCGAGGCTTTCATTTGTATGCAAATGAGTTATTTCTTTAGATAAAACTAATTTATTCATCTATTCATAACTAACCTTATTAAACTAATTCCTAGGGAAAGCAAAACTTGTTTAGCAGTTTAATTTTCACAAGCATTATATATTATTTCAAAGCAATGTTATCCGTCTGTCTTCCTTGAAAAGAAACAAAGGACAAAGGGAAACAAAATGTGTTTTCCATAGAAGCTTCAATATCAACAAACAATAAGCTGATGAATTGCAAATCTCAGTACTGAAAAACAGCAAAAATAAACTCTAATCCAATCTAATCAGAATAAGATGACTGATACCATTGCAACAAACCAAAAGGATGCTTTTGGACGACTTTTTCCAGCACAACTTCTTATTCAAATTGAGTTTGATATCTTTTTGTATTTGCACGGAACATATCTTGTTTCAAGATTCATCCACTATAATTCTAATTTATTGGATAAATTGAATTCAATAATAGACGCAAGTTGGCAAACAGGCACACCGGTTCATCTTTGTTACCAATTTGATATGTGATCTCAACCTCTGAATTCTCAATGCGTTTTTCTAATCATTTTCAAATTGAGTCGTTTTACTTTTTTTTTATTTCTTTTTCTAGTTAAAACTCTTCGTAAATAAAAGAAAAAAAAACTGACAAAGACACGTGGAAACATCTGTGAGTACATAACATAGACATTTAGATTCAAATCCGAGCAGTAGATTACTAATGGCAGAGCCTCAAGAAATGAAAGCTTTAGAAAGTACCTGTATGCGTAGCTTATCAACTTCAATCATCAAAAGCGATCCTAACTTTCCAGAGAGAATTTCCAGAGCATCCCCATATTTGGCTTGTTGTTCCAATATGGAAACATAGACCATAAGAGCTGAAGCCAAGTACAAACTTTTAGCACATGAATTTGAGTTGTCCACCAACATAAAATTACGATTCAACATAGACCATGACAAGTAGTGAAAAAAAAATGTATACCTTCAGGCTCATGCAAGCTGTGGGAGGCAACGTGTTTCTTAATCAAACCTTCGGCTAAAGCTAATAGCTTCTCACTCCCATTGCCACAAAAAACCTAACAAAAATTCAAGCCCATAACATAAGCAAATGCATAACGAATTTTTCTTTCATGTTTTCCCATTTGGTCAACGAGAATCAAATTTGTATACATGTAATGAGAATTCGAGTAGAAAGATCGTAGTTTTAATAGGAAACAAAACAAATTATGCTCCGTGCTTGAAAAGGTTTGTCACACTGATAATCCTTTCTACAATACACAAAAAATGGCGCAAAGAAAGCCGGTGTTACCTGTAACTGGATGCTACACACTGCCCATAGCAAAAACCTCTCCTCCCCAACAAGCTTGTACATTTTTATAGCTGTCTGATACAAACATATATAATGATAAATTACACGAAAACAAAAGATACAACGACGAGGGTAAGTAGAGAAAAAGAAACCTGTTGCTGCTTTACAAACGAGTATTCGCGAACATAGCAGTTGAAGAGGCCCATCATGAGCTCCAAATTGTTGGAAATTTTTCCGCAAGCGTATTCGTAACAGCTCGTAGCCATTTCCACTGGTTTTACAAACAAAACAGATAAGAAATTCGGCAATGTGTGCATTCTGTGTTGCCACAAGAGATTCAAGAAAGGTAAAATGTATATATATATACTGACAGTGATCGAGCCGTTGGAAGACGATTTGCAAGGTGCTGAGAGTGAGATCGTCCATCAAAACGGAGTCGTTTGAGTGCAGAAGCTCCTTGGCGTTCAGGCAGACCGACAATGCCTCGTCGGATTTCCCCATCCTATCCAAGACGAGAGCTTTAAGCGCCTGCGAAGTGAAAAAGCCGCCGAGAAAGTTAGCGGATTTACGAAAATACAAAGAGCAAAACGACGTCGGATAAGAAGAGGGGGGAGCGAGAAATTACCAGGCAGTAGGGCGAATTGGGGTACTTGGAGAGGAGGCCGGTGACAAGCTTGAGAGCGGTCTTGAATTGGCGAGAATCGATGGCGTCCCAAATGGGTCGGACCCGGCGCTCCGGTATGCCTCCGGCCAACCCGAACTTGGACGCCATTGGAGGTCTGGCTTTTTGGGGTTAGTGAGATTGGATTGAAGAGAGGGAGAGAGAGAGAGAGAGTTTGGACACTTGTGCGCGCTACTTTGAAGCTTTGGAAACGCCCAACGAGTAAGACGCGAAGTATAGAAAGTAAACGAAAACCTAATCTGAGTGTTTGGATGCGGTGTTAGTGGAGTCAAAGGTCATAAAATTATCCGAATCGGATCCATCCTGCTTAGGATCCGAGTACTGTTCTCCCGTTTCGATGTTTTATTCTTAGTTAAATTATATTTTCATACATCAGGTTTTGATTTTATTTCAATTCCTTATAACATCTTTAAAATATTTCACTTTCATACCTTAAGTATTATTTTATTTCAAAATAATACCTCTATTACATTTTTCATCCATTAATCCGTTAAATACTGACGTGGATGCCACATATATGTCAAGTAGCTGCCAAATGTCTGTCACGTGGCAAAAATAATAATTTTTAAATTTTAAAAAAAAAAAAAACCTGAATTTTTACAAAAAAAAAAAAAAAAAAAAAATTGAAACACTAGCGACCCACATCTGCAAGAAGAAGAAGAGGGAGGAAGAAAGATAGAAAAAACCCCCAAAATCCCACCCGAGCCATCTCTCCCAAAAATCCCCCATCACCCACCCCCGAAAATCTCACACAAGATTAGGCGGATCTACTACAAAACTAGTACAAAAATCATCTCAAAGTCAAAGTATTTTCAAAATTCAGCCGCACTGAAAATCACTAGATCGCAGAGGAAGGAGAGTCGCCCAGGGAGAGGGCCCGGGGGGGGGGGTTGGGTTTTTTTTTTTAGGAAAACTAATGAAAATGACTTGAAAACTTTGAGTTTTAATGATAAGAACAAAATAAAGGATAAAGTGAATAATACCATGCTTGACTTTTTAGTGTAAAAATATGATTTTTCGTTAAAGTGAATAGTACCGCGAGCTTTTTGTTAAAACTCCTTTTTTTTTCCCCTTCTTCTGCTTCTTCTTCTTTTTTTAAGGGGGGGGGGGGTCGCTAGGGTATTGGTTTTTTATTTTTTGTGTGTAAAAATTCAGGTATTTTTAAAAAAAAAATTTTTTTTTTTTTTTGCGGCGTGGCAGACATTTGGCAATCACGTCAACATTTAACGGATCAATGGATGTAAAATGTAACGGAGGTATTATTTTGAAATAAAATAGTATTTAAGGTATGAAAGTGAAATGTTTTAAAGATGTTTTAAGAAATTGAAATAGAGCCCAAACCTAAGGTATGAAAGTGTAATTTACCCTTTATTCTTTACTGGGCAAAATCCCTTTTTGATGTTTGGGTTCTGATAAAAGGAATTGGATCCGCTCAGGATCTTATTGTTTGGAACTTAAGGATCAATTCATCTAGACCACACAAATTTAATCCAACGGTCTCTATTAACTCATTTTTCTAATCACCCTACAAATTCAACAACTCTAATTTCTTTTATACACCAATTAGCGGTCTAGATGATTTGATCCCTAGGCTTAGGACACTAAAGTCTGGAGCAGATACAATTCCCTGATAAAAGGAAGATTTTATTGTAACCTCAAATTAGTTGTCATTTAGTACTACGGTTTAGTGGTATTTCTTTTTACTTGTAAGTAAGAGATTTAGGTTCGATTATCAGCAAAAACTAATTTGAACCACATATTGGTAGCCCATTGTAAGGCTAAGTCCACCCCCCTCTCTTAATGTAGATACTATTGTTTGTTCAAAAAAAAAAAAAAAAAAACATCTAGTCATTTGATGTAGTTAGTTTTTTTTTTCTTCATAAAAAATGGATTAGTGTTGCGAAAATTAGATAACCAAAATTAACCTTATTAAGTCTCAAATTTTAGTGCTCGCAAGTATACGAATCAAATGATAGTATAGCTTTGAAGCACGAATATCGTCCCACAGAGGTCAAATTGATTCTAAAAATCTTACTAACTAAATTGAAACAAATTATAATGGAGATTAACCGGCACAAATAAAACTTGTTAGTTTAATTATAATGAATATGCAATTGTGGAACGTGTTCATAACATACAACTAATATGAGATACTAAAAATGAATAATATAAAATTGAATGAACAAGGAGGTGAGATTGTACGCCGAGAGGACTCGAAGATGCCGATGCGGGAATGTCTTGACGTCAGGATTGTACATTTTAATTCTAAGTCCTGAGAGAGCGCAAAATAAAATATAAGTGGACCAAGTTGATGTATATATAAGTAATACTAAAACAGATAATCTTTAACGTACTAACCTCAGGTTTAGAAAACTCGTATAACATAATATGTAATAGGTTTTTCGAAAACTCCAGTATGCCATAAAATTTCATTAAACTATATCGTATATAATGTGCTTAATAATAGCACAAAAGTATGCCAGCACGTGCCTATCTTGGTGTTTGAAGAATATTACGTGTCAAGCCACCTCTGCCAAATTCCAGTCAAGTTTCCCACTTCTTCAACTCCCCAAAATGCCGCTCAAATATAAGACTAATTACTTCCTCCTCCAACTCCTTGCTTTTCTCCTGTTGGTTTGGTTCTGGTGAAAGGAAGGAGATGATGGGCTCTGAGAACCGGGGCTCCGACGAAGCCCACCTCCACGCGCCGAAAGAAGAAATGGAAAATCTCGTCCTAGACGATCAATCGAACGGCAATAAATCGTACTTGAATTATCGCAGCGCCATGTCGTCGCTCTCCGATACGATACACCCTCTCTCGTCGTCGCCGTCCTCCTCCCAGATCGTATCCGAAGTCCCCGCCACCACCGCCAATACAACGCCACCTGCCGACGCCGATCCCCTGTTCGTTCCCGCACCGTACCGCGACCTCCGAAACCCTAGCTCGACCCCGGACAACACCACTTACATCGACCCGCCTTCTTACGCCGACGTGATCTACAGCCCCTACGATGCCGAAACCGCCGCCGAAATCCATGGCATCGAGAGTCCTGGTAAGAGCTCCGACAACTCGAGCTCGTACTCTCTCTCGCGATCTCCGTCTTCCACATCCGAGTACATCAAAATCACGGTCTCGAATCCGCAGAAGGAGCCGGAAAGCGGGAATTCGATCGTTCCGGGAGCTAACAATTACGTCACGTACCTGATCACGACTCGGACGAACATTCCGGATTTCGGCGGATCGGAATTCGGAGTCCGGCGGCGGTTTCGGGACGTGGTAACGTTATCAGACCGGTTGGCGGAGTCGTACAGAGGGTTCTTTATACCGCCGAGGCCAGACAAGAGCGTGGTGGAGAGTCAGGTGATGCAGAAACAGGAGTTTGTGGAGCAGAGAAGAGTGGCATTGGAGAAGTACTTGAGGCGATTGGCTTCGCACCCGGTGATCAAGAGAAGCGACGAATTGAAGGTGTTTTTGCAGGTGCAGGGGAAGCTACCCCTGACATTGACCATTGATGTGGCGTCTAGGATGCTCGATGGGGCCGTGAAGCTTCCGAATCAGTTGTTTGGGGAGAGTGCTCCGCCACTGGCGCTTCACGAGGTGGTTCAGCCTGCGAAAGGGGGCAGGGATTTGTTGAGGTTGTTCAAGGAGTTGAAGCAGTCTGTGGCTAATGATTGGGGAGCTTCGAGGCCGCTGGTGGGGGAGGAGGATAAGGAGTTTTTAGAAAAGAAAGAGAAGATGAATGAGCTGGAGCAACATCTCATTCATGCATCTCAGCAGGTAATGTGTACTGAAGTGATCATATCTGTGTGGTTTGTGAGTGTATGTTTCACTTTAGAGTGATTAATTGCTTTGATTTATAGGCCGAATCACTCGTTAAAGCTCAACAGGACATGGGAGAGACGATGGGAGAGTTAGGACTAGCGTTTATTAAGCTGACCAAGTTTGAGAACGAGGAGGCCTTGTTCAACTCTCAGAGACTGCGGGCTGCCGACATGAAGAATGTGGCAACTGCTGCAGTCAAAGCCAGCAGATTCTATCGGGAGTTAAATGCTCAAACCGTCAAGCATTTCGTAATTTTGTCACCCTTTTGTTTTTCATTGCATTTTGAGCTATAAGATTGGTTTGGTTAGTAATGTTTATGTATGTAGTACGTTTTCTTCAGCTGTTTTTCATTGTTACTTTAGAAGGAAACCCATCAATTGTATTAATGATTGTTCATACTATGCGTATTGCAGGATACATTTCATGAATATCTTGGGCTAATGTTAGCTGTCAACGGTGCATTCTCGGATAGGTCAAGTGCTCTATTGACAGTGCAGACTCTTCTATCAGAACTGGGTTCACTGCAATCACGGGCTGAAAAACTTGAAGTTCAATCCAATAAAATTTTTGGTGGTGACAAATCAAGGAATCGAAAACTAGACGAGTTAAATGAAACCATAAGAGCCACCGAGGATGCTAAAAATGTAGCAATCAGAGAATATGAGCGGATCAAGGTACCATTGTACTTTTGAAATTATTTTTAATATACTACTGACATCAGTAATCTTTCCAATTCACGGTAATTAAATATGTTAGTAGTTAAGAAATCTCGTAAACTTTGTATGAACTTTTATGTGAAGGGATTTGCATCCCAAATGCTCGAGTGTTTGGTCTTGTGGCTCCTGCCCGTGTTTTAGATCCACACGGAGTCATTTCTTTTGTTAAATCACAGGTTTCATGTCTGTTTCCCTGTTTTTCTTCCATGTTATGTGTAGCTGTCCCTTTTTTATGCTTTGCGTTAGTGACCTTAAAATGTGTCTAGCCTCACTCCTTTCAAGGAATTTACTCACTCTGATTGTAAATGTGATAATCTCGCAGCATTCAAGCTCACAACATTTTTTATGTGCATGATTCACTTAGTGTTTGATGATCATGGTATTTGGCCATTTCGTTCACTAATTGAGATGGGTTATAAAAAGCTGCGGGAGTGGAGTGTTCCTTATTCGTTTGTGGACTAATATTATGGCTGTCGAAATTGCATTTACGTAACTTTTAAATCCTTGCATCTCTTGGCTTGTCTCTCTGGTCTTGTAATGTGAGGTCTAGCCAGAGCTTTGCACCTATATGAGGGCTTAGTTAATCTTGTGTGCCAATTCCATCAAAGCTTGCAAGTTGTGGCAGCCAAACTGGGTGTTTGAGGTGAACATTGATGTTAAGTAGTTTAGGTCTCGGATGTTATTCGTTGTTGCATGTACAGGAAGAACTACATGCTTATAGAAGCCTGAGTTTCTCTCTTTGAAAACCATGTTTTGGGAACATGAAACTGATCTTTGTGTTATTACACCATGTCATGATGTGTGTATATTTCAGTTTTCTATCATGAATTTTTGCATCTTTTTTCGCCCTTAAAATTGCCGTTTTCCCGTCTATGATAAAGGCTATTCAAAATTTCTCTTGTTTTGAATTCTCTCTTCTAGTGAAACTTGAAATTGTAAACTTGTTTCCCTGGCCAGCTAAAATAACTCTGCCCAGTTGTTAGTATCCTCACGAGAACTTAGAATAATTTGATTTTGATGAATGCAGGAAAATAACAGGAGTGAACTTGAAAGACTTGACAACGAGAGGCATGCTGACTTCTTAAACATGTTGAAGGGATTTGTGCATAATCAGGTACTTACTGCTTGCGTTCTTGTTCACCTAGGATCGTTATAGCTCTCTAGAAGAGTCTTCATGTAAACTAATTTCGTTCTTAGGTTGAGTTCATCTGGGTGTTATGAGATGGATAATCTGAAAAATGTTAGACATAATTGCGTCTACTAATGGCTTGTCATATGCAAGTCTTCGGTGTAACACATTGTTCTGTATCATGAACAGGTAGGATACGCTGAAAAGATAGCAAATGTGTGGTCGACTGTTGCAGAGGAGACCCGTTCGTATGCAAAAGAGAGCCCTTGAACCGTGTGTTTGTAAATGAAATTTTCACTTTCTTTCTTTCTTTACATTTTAATTGATACCCGCTTCAAAGTAAATTGCATTGCATTCATAAGAATAAAAAAAAATGGAGCACCGGGTAATTTACAAATTTAACTTTCCGAAAGTTGTATGTATTAGATAGATAATCGCACGATTTTAGAGTTGATGCTGTAAATTGCTTGCTACTTGTTTGATGTGTGGAGCTTTTTAATCCATGAGTTTCTGAATGCGAGTCGGTATTCTGCTCTCAACGGTTGTGGGTTCAATTGTTTGTGTGCTCATTTGCTAATTCCTTAGACGTGACGTAAGATAATTTTGTGATATGAAACCTAACAAACGATGTACTCTTTAAGCGGAGGATGTTTATATATCTTGGTTTTTGCTTTTGGATTGATGTTTGAGCCTAAGCTCAAGGATGTGCCCTTTGGATGATTGGGTTTGCTTGGATTCTTTTTTATGTACTTTTCCATCTAAAACTAGGTGTACAAGTCTGGCTCTGTGCATGACGTCTTGCTTTTAGCGTTTTTAAAACCGCACTTGTATTCCCTCCCCTCCCTTCTAGCTTGGAAAAAAATGGGAGAGGAGAGAATCTAGATCCGGAGAGATGCATCACTTTAGGTTTTAAGTGCTTAAAACCTAAAATCGATGCTCGAATTGATTGACCCTTTACTTTCTTTCGTGAAATTTGTTTCAAATGTTGAATTATAGTTAAGCAAAATAAGTAATCAAATTTCTGGCTCATGGAATTAAAAGGAAAAATTCAAATACAAATTGCCAACAAACAAACAAATTAAATTGCAAATATCTCAAGTAATGAATAATATTCCTTATGTAACAAAAAATTCTCTTTCTTCTTCTTCTTCTACTAAGCAAACCCGACCCGAGGGAGAGCGATACTGTGTAGCTACGCGGTATGAACGCCTACGGACTTGCACCTACATGCTAGACACGTGACATCATGCTGGCACCCGCCGACGCAAACGAAGGGGCCCCGCCACCGAAAATCGAAGCGATGCCAGAACCCAACGGCTGCGTTTCGTCCAGGAACAGATCCTCAGGATCTCTGAATGCGCCGTGAACACACACGATCCCAACTCCCACCATCACCGCCGTTAGCAGCAGCGACAGCACGCTCGTCACCAATATCGCGATCAGCGTCGCCACGCCCAGACCGAACAGCGCCTGGGTGTCGGAGAACGTGCGGCCGAGGATCACGAGCGGCTGCTCCGACGATCGGCGCGAGTAGAGGAAGATCCACGCTCCGGCGAGGGCGACGAGGGTGAGGAGGGAGAAGGGGTGGGAGATGAGGGAGTAGGCGAGTACGACTGCGAGTACGATGAGGTAGTTGACGCGGAAGTAGGCGGCGTTCTTGCGGATCCGGGAGGCGGCATCGGTGAGCGAGGTGGGTCTGGTGAAGGCAGTGCGGTCGATGAGCTCGGTCCAGGGGCGGCTGTTGGAGAGCGCGTGGCGGGATGCGGCGGAGATGCGCGTGAGGAAGGGGCGGAGGAATGGGAGTGGGTTGGTGCCGGACGGTTGGGATTGCTGGTGAGAGGACTGTTGGGACGAAACTGGGATCGGGGAAGGCGAGGACATTGGTGTAAATACGATGGAAGTTCGGGGTAATATTGGAAATTCGGAAGAACGGAGAGGACTGAAAAAAGACTGTTACGACTTTTCTTTCTCAGAAGAGATATGAAGAAGGGAGGGCAGGTTTTTTGGGTGGATTTTGGTAAAAGGGTTGGTTTTATAGGATTTGGGGCGAAGAATCTTTGGCCGTTGATTTAGGGATCGACGGTGGTTATTATATTGGATGGATGATTTGTGTGTTTTTGGCATGTGGCTTGCTTTGCTTGCTCAATCCGTTAAGGGAAGCAATCCAATAGGATACAACCACGTGGACAGACTAGGCCTTTGATCATGAGCACATTGAGTGGTGCATCATCCGAGCAATAAAATACTATCACAGTGACGTTTTCGTAAGTTAGTTACCAAATGTGGCTAAATTAAATTTGACATTTTGCGTCGTGTATAGGGTACAATGGTCCTTTCAATCCATTTTATTGGTTTCTGAGCGTACATCCAATATTGGTTTAAACTAAATGTTACCCTAATTCTAAATTTACTAGCTCAAAGACTCGTAGCACTGAAGCATTTCTTAAAAAAACTCTCGAAAACTTTAAAAAGTTACTACATATAAAACAAAAACAGACTAAATTTGATTAAGCCAGAATTTGGAAGTGCTTTTAGTTTTTGTTATTTTTAAACTGTAAACGTGATTCCTATGAACGCAAAGGGTTTAGGAGGGCACACAATAAAAGCAAAACCCCATTTTTTTTCTTTCCAGAGTCTGAAGTGGGATTCCACATCTTTTCTTTCACGGTACCAGCCGTCTCATTTATGCTTTTGACCAAAGCGGAAACCTCTTTTGTGGGCTTTTACTTTACTTCATTGTCCAAAACTAAATAAAGTCCATTCCTCCAAAAACCCATTCAACCTTCTCCTCTTTCTTATCCATTCTATTTAACCAATTTAAATTTTGCGCTCGGACGTGAGTTGAGTCAGTATTTAAGTACAATGGTATTATTAGTAAACTAGATAGTTTGATATTATTAGCAAGTTAGACGGTTAATTGTTAAGAAAAAGAGAAGTTAGTGAGAATTCGCATTATTGTGCAAAAAATGCATAATTATTATCCACCATTGCAATAAAAAGTCATCTACGTGAATTAGGTTAGTAGATCAAACTTGTTTTTTTTCCAAATGTTTAAGCTTGAATTGCAATCCAATTATTCAAAATTAGAATGATTGTGATGATAATAAAGCTCAACTCCCACTACACGAAATTAGAATAATTCAGAAATACTACTTTGTAGGGAATGAAAAATAAGAAAAAGTTTGCAGTTCCAAAATTTAGACAAACGAAAAATGGGTAATCCTGAACAGATTAAATAGGTAGACTAAATTTAATAAAATTAATGATGAAAATTAATAATTAAATTATTATTTAAATCATAATTAACATGCTTATTTTTTATTAATTTAATCCAATTAGCATTATCCTCAAATATGGTTCAAAAAGTCTAAAGGCAAAAACTGCCTGACTCTTTCCCGTCTTCGGTCTTCATCCGTTCCCCACACGAACCGCGTTCTTCCAGTCACCTTCCACGAACCCCCAAATAATATTATTCAACTGCTTCTGCTTTTAGCTTTTGGATTTTGGCTTACTGCTTATTACCCAAATCGAAATTCTGAAATCCAAAAAATTAAAACCAATTTTCGTCTCAATTTCACAACCCTAAAAGTTTGTCTTCACTGAAGCACAAAATCAAGCACTTGGAGGGCACTCTCTGAGACTGCAGTACAATGGCTGAGAACGGCGAAGAGAAATTGTTAGCTATGGCGCGCCACATAGCCAAGACTTTGGGCCACAACGATAACATGGCCGACGATATTTTGCAGATTTTTTCCAACTTCGACGGCAGGTTCTCTCGCGAGAAATTGGCTTCCGACGACGAACGCACTCGCAGCTGCGCCGCCCTCGAGCTCTCGCTGAAGTCGCTGGACCGTCGGATCTCGCAGTATGTTGCTGCTGACCACCCAATCTGGTCCTACTCGGCCGATTCCGCGGCGTTTCTTGACTTGATCGACGACCTCATCGCCACCATCCGGGACTGGACTCCCATGGCCGACGACCAGTCCGTCGGGGTTTGCCTCGCGCGTGCTGAGTATCTTATGCGGCAGGCCATGTTCCGGCTCGAGGATGAGTTCAGATCCTTGGTCGAACGCGGCGGCGAGTCACGAAAACTCAATCGCGCGTTTCGTGGCGAGTCAAATGGCGCGTTGTCGTTTGACTCGGGAGACGACGAAGAAGAAGGGGAGGAGGAGGTAATCGGGGACGGTGAGGAGCACCAGATCCCTACTGCTCAGCCGATCGGCGACTACGACATCGTGATCGATGCGCTGCCTTCTGGAACCATCAACGACCTCCATGAGATTGCCAAGCGGATGGTGGCGGCGGGGTTCGGAAAGCAGTGCTCGCACGTGTACAGCAGCTGCCGGAGAGAGTTCCTGGAAGAGAGCATGTCGAGGCTAGGCTTGCAGAAGCTGAGCATCGAAGAGGTTCAGAAGACGCCATGGCAGGACCTCGAGGACGAAATCGAGCGGTGGATCAAATCCGCAAACGTCGCGCTTCGGATTCTGTTCCCGAGCGAGCGTAGACTCTGCGATCGCATCTTCTACGGCCTCTCCTCCGCCGCAGACCTCTCGTTCATGGAGGTTTGCCGGGGCTCGACGATTCAGATACTGAACTTCGCCGACGCGGTAGCGATCGGAAGCCGATCGCCGGAGCGATTGTTCAGGATTCTGGATGTGTTCGAGACTCTGCGGGATTTGATGCCTGAATTCGAGTTAGTGTTTTCGGATCATTACTGTTTGTTTCTCAGGAACGAAGCGAATACGATTTGGAAAAGGTTAGGGGAAGCGATCAGAGGCATTTTCATGGAGTTGGAGAATCTGATCAGTCGCGACCCTCCGAAAACTCCAGTTCCTGGCGGCGGGTTGCATCCGATCACTCGATATGTGATGAATTATCTCCGTGCAGCATGCCGATCGCGCCAGACCCTCGAGCAGGTTTTCGAGGACAGTGCTGCAGTCTCTCATCAGCCCAAGGTTGATGATCGAGCTTCGTCTTCACCCATGTCGGTGCAAATGGCGTGGATTATGGAGCTTCTGGAGAGCAATTTGGAAACCAAGTCGAAGATTTATGGGGACTCTGCGTTGTGCTGTGTTTTCATGATGAACAATGGGAGGTACATTATGCAGAAAGTGAAGGACAGTGAGTTGGGATCGCTTTTGGGCGATGATTGGATCCGAAAACACACTGCAAAAATCCGACAGTACCTTGTGAATTACCAGAGAAGCTCATGGAACAAGGTGCTTGGAGTGTTGAAGCCCGAGAGTGGCTCATTGTCGCCAAGTGCTGCTGTGAAGTCCATGAAAGAGAAGCTCAAGTTGTTCAACATCTACTTCGACGAGATCTGTAAAACGCAGTCCAATTGGGTAGTTTTCGACGATCAACTCAGAGATGA